TGCAGATGGGGTTGATAGAGATATGGGAAAAGGTATTTTCAACATCACTTATGGTAATTAAGTTCTGAGCCTTGTTTGAAGTAGGTGTGTGTATTGCTGGCCAATCCAGAATAACAGTCCTGATTAATTATGATATTTCTCATGTGTAGATGAAGATCTGATCTATAGGTAGCCATGAATTCTCAGAACAGAACCAAACAAATGAGGTTTTTTAAATCAGAAGCTTGGAGATGTTGCAGAGTGGATGCAGATGGAGTCTGGATGCAAATGGAGGGGAGGAGAAATTGCTTTCCATGGGTTGTTTGGGGGATTTTATTCTGTATTTGCTTTTAATGGAGTTGAGTCTTTGCCCATTGTGCGTCCCAATCTGATGGAGACCCTGCAGGGGAGTTGGGCCCTGGGGCTGGGCAGGGGTGATTTCCTTTGGGATGGATGGCAGTGGTCTCATCTGGCCCAGGAATGAGGAACTAAGAGAGAAGAGCTGGAATCTGACCTGGAGTTCTGTGCAATTCTCCCTTTTTGAGCAGCAAAGAAACCCTGGGGGATCTGGGCTGTGAGATGCTGAGCAGGGGCCCCTTTAGCCATAATGGGAAATATTAAAATATTTCCTTACCTTAAAATATTTAAAAATGAATGAGCACACAACGGCTGGCTCAGGACAGACTCTATAAAGTGTCGCCACTTTATTTTGGCACCTGAAGTCAAGGTTTGGGAGGGGAGTTGTTTCCAAAAGAGTGCCCAGTGTGGAGCACTGGGAGGGAGGGAAACACGAGTATCTGGAGTTTTAGGAGCCCGGGTTAAAGCTGCCCAGGAACAGCCCAGTACTGCCCTCTGAGCATCCCGAGGATCACAAATGGTCGCTGTGGGATGTGTGGGGCTGCCCTGGGAGCTCCATTCCCTGCAGGCCCTGGAGAACGGGGCTCACCAGGACCAGCCCCGGGGAGCTCCTGCTCTTGCTCCGCATCCCTCTGACATCCTTGTGTTGAACCGGGAGAGCACCAGCCCAGCCCTAAAACCCTGTCAAACCGGCCAGACACACGGCAGGAGGTGACACCCCCTGGAGCTGTCACAGCCTGGGTCACACCCTGGATCCATCCAGTCCGATGGAACCCAGCCCTGGCTGGGAGGAGGCTCCGATCCGCTCAGGAGCTCAAAGGTGTCACTAATTCTGCAGCTTCGGTTCTGCCTTGTTTATCAAACTCAGTAGTTTTCTGACTAAAAGGCACTTGGATTTAAAAGGAAAAAAAAAAAAATACAGGCTACTGGGGAAGGAATTAACTCCCTCCCAGCCGAAGCAGGACACGGAGTGTTTACATTGGGAGCTGCCGCCTGCAATAAAAATGCCTCTTGTGTGGCTGATCAGTCTGATCACAGCTCCTACCCCTCCACCCTTTACCCACGGCTTTCACTTTTCATCTGCCAGCATTCCTTTTCCTGTTCACCCCTTGGGAATACAGAAAAAAAAAAAAGAGGGAAAAAAAAAAAAGCCAAAAAAAACCCCAAACCACCCCAATTTAGAATTTGCCCATGCAAAATATACAGGTCAGGTGGATTAGGAAAAGCTCAGGCTGGCAAATCCCCAGGGAGCAGGTGTTTTGTTCAGCGCTTCTGCCAGAAAATCCACGCTCTCGACATTTCGTAACCCGGGGAAGGCGGAGGGGTCTGGCAGAGGGAATGCCGGTGGGCAAGGCAATACTGTGTCTTTAATTTTCTTTTCCGAGGGGAAGAAAGTCTGCAGAGCCATGACAGGCTCACTTGTTCAGCCTTTAATGTGCGATCTGTTTTCTCCAGTGGAGGGCACTCAGTGTATCACAAACTAGAACATCAGCGCCGACAAGCTCCGGAGCATCATCGCTCTCTGGAAAGCCTTCGGAATTAGACGAGAGCTGCCTCTCGGCACGGCTACAAAACACTTTCCACCTGCCCAGCCGAATGGATAAACCGAGCCTGCACAGCTTTTAAAGCCGGGCTCGGGCAGGGAGAGGGCAG